GGGGGGGGGGGGGGGGGGAAAAGGCCCACGGGAAAGAAGCATTAAATTGTGTATTGTACTGTCCACTCAAAAATCACACATTTTCGCCTCCTGCGTCTCCGCTGTGGAGCATACCCCCACGATGCGGCTACACATATATGTACGTGCGCCTTCTGTTGGGTGGCTCACCTGCACTTCCTGACCGCGCTGCCCATTGAAAGAGTACAGCTCCGAGAGCAAAATCAAGACATACTTCGACTGATTGGTCAGTTTCTCCAATTCTTCTTTCAAATTGAGGAGTAGCGGAATTTCGAAAATGTCGGTCACATTATTTTTTTTTTTTTTGTACAAATGGGTATACATGAAAATGACTCGAAAGAGGTACTTGAAAATGGCTTCATTGTGTGGGAACTGTTTGGCATAATTTAAGCAGAATTCAATTTCCCTCTCCATTTTGTATACCTTACGTGTGTATTTCAATTTGCTGAATATAAAGTATCTGTACACCCAAACAGAGTTGTTGTAAATATCATGTTTTAAAAAATAATTTATAAAATTAAACTCATGTGATATGATATTATATTCTTCATATAAATATTTATTGTTAAAAAGGCCTAACTTATCAATTAGCCATGTTTTGTGTGCCCAGGAGTTGTAATTTTTTGCGTCCAAAAATATATCGCAGTTACTGTAAAGCATTTCTTCGTATAAAAATTTGTCCATGTTTATTGGCTCTTGGTTTGGCCTTAATGCGTTTTTAAAAAATTGGCAGTTTTCGATAAGTTTTTGCAAATCATCGTGCAGAATGACAACATCTTTTTTTTCGGCCTCAAAGTCTGCCTCCTCACAATTGCTTAAAAAGGCGTCTTCATCTTCACCATCATCATTGTCCTCTTCCGCCTCCTCCTCGTGGGGCTGCTCTTCTGCAGGGTGGCCATCGCCACCATCGCCACCATCGCTACCATCGCTGCTGATGAAGTTCCCCTCGTCCTCCAAATCGTAACTGTCCCAGTCAACTTTGTGCCCCCCGGAACGGCTACTTACGCGCTCCTCCCGCCCCGTACCCCTCCTTGACAATTTCCAAATATACTCCACAACCCACCTCCGGTGAAACCAACTCTGGAAACTCTTTATATTATCGCATATAACACACCTTGTAAAGAGCAATTCATTTTGCAAGTTCAAATTCAGTTTGCGCAGACACTTCCTCCTATAGATCCACGCAGAGTAATAAGAAGGGTTTACCTTAATAGCAAAGGTGGACATGACATACCCCTCAAAAGAATATTCTTTTGATTCAATAAATGAAGCCAGTGTGGAGTAAACCAACTGTTCTTTGTCGCTATAGTACGTACTTAGTATGTGCACCTTTTCTTTATTTTTTATATTTCTTTCATTTTCCATGTCCACTGATAATTTCTGCCTTTCTCTCTCCAGATCGATCATATCAATGTGGACGTTCCTTTTCGGCATCAGCTGGAACAGCGGCGTATGCAAAAGGAGGCTCAAATCGAGTCCATCCAGCCGCCCGGGGTACTCCAGCTGGAACTTCTTCGCGTATGCCCGTTGCAGTCTCTCCATGTTTTTGCGTCCGACAGGGTAGCGGCAAGGGAACTGCAGCACTGTGGCTGTGTTTCCCTTTTAGTGAACCTGCATCTATCTCTACCCCACTTGCAGAAAAAATTCAGCGAATGCAGTTAAAAATGGTTAATTGGGGACCATCACTGGGGGGACACACCTCGAAAAGGGCGATCGGTTAGTTATCCCACTGTACGCGGCGAAAAAAAAAAAAAAAAGCGCACAAGGGATAATAACAAAATGGCACAGCGGCAAAATGACACAAAAAAAAAAAAAAAAAAAACGGGGAAACTTCCCCGCAATGCAACTATTCCATGCAGGACGACACGTGTGCAGCGCGAAACGGCAATTTTCGCGAACGCGCAAATGTCACGAGTACGGATTTGGGTAAACCTTGTTCAGCAGTCCCTTGTTATCTGGCCACACTTCCTTCTCATCGGCATGCTGAATAAAGTGCTTTCTGTAAGTTTTATACTTTTCTTTTTTTATTTTCTTTTTGGTTAATTTGTCAATGAAGGAGTACCTGCGTCGGAGATACAGCGGGTCGATAAACCTGTTTCTGATTGAAAAAGTGTTTTGTAAATGTTCATTTTCGTTTAGCAAATTTAAAAAGTGATTTTTTGATCTTTCATGTTCCTCCATTTCTGCTTCCGTTTTTTCTCGGCGTTCCTCCAGTCCTATGTTCACATCACAGTCTACATAATGTAACTGCTGGCCAGTTGTATTTACGTCCTTTGCACAATTCAATCGCGTGAGCGGTTTATCCCCACGCCCCGGGGAATTCTCCCCAAGTATTATCCTCTTAAATGACAACCTTCCCTTGGTTCTGGCAAAAATTATTTTGTCATAACTATTAGTGTGTGTTGTTACTTCTTCACATACCTTTTGGAGCATTTCACTATTTTCCTTCTCCTCGGGTGTCACCTTTTTGTCTTCCATTTTGCCTGACTTGTTCAGGTAATTTTCGCTTTCACTTTCATTTTGTGTGCAAAAAGGGGAGTCCCCGAAATTGGACTTATCCGCTTGCGTTCCCCTGCCATTGTCCACTCGCGGTTTAAACCAACTGAATTTGTGTTCGTGCAAATTTAAATCTCTTAAGTCTTCGGGCGATAACGCATTTTTGTGTTGGCACTTCTCTTCGTGTTGGCGTATATGGTCGGGGAAGACGGTCAAATATAGAGAGTAAAAATCTTTCAAGCTCTGATTTTCGAGATACAACTCCTTTGGTATGTTTGCTAAAAATTTTTCCACCTTGTCTTTGTTCTCAATTATGAGGTTAATGCATTTTTGCAAATTAATGAAGCTATCGTCTATCTCCTTTTTTTTTAAACGTACGGTCTGCATCCTCATGTACTCCTTTAAGTTAAAATCGAGGTGTAAATATTTTGACGGGAAATAATAATTTTGCATACTTTTCCCGATTAGAGGTTTGATCCAGTTTTTTTCTCCCGGCATATTTTCTGCGTATCCAAATATTTTTTTTTTGCATGACTCTATTCCTTTCAAGTTCCACCCCTTGATGTCGCCGACGCTTTTTATTTGGCATATTGAGATCTTGGGTTTGCTCATTTGGGGAGGGGGAGGTCGGCTTGCCGCCTATCAGAACTGTTGTTAACCTACAAGGAGTTTCACAGCACCTTCGGAGTTTTACACCTGAGGGGCCCAGCTGAACAAGCAGTTAGTACACCCTTGTCGCGGTAACCCCATGCAGGATGCAACTGCGGCTCTTATCATGATCATATCGCGTCGCGCGTGGAGGGATGTGAAGCGGAGACGCAAAACACATACATGATATTTCCACACAATTGAAAAGTCAGTTCCGCCGCAACCTTGGCGTCACATGAACGGTTTTAATTTTTTGAAAAAAAAAATGTTAATTTTTACTTAAAATGACAAGGTTAACTCACACGCAAGAACTGTGCAAGTTGGCTAAAATGATACACATAAATGCACAATCATTCGCGCGAACTGGAAGATGTGAGGGGCTCCCCACAAATGCTATTTCACGGTCCCGCATTTGAGATTACCCAGAGGTGCATACGTTACATTTGTGCCTTTTAGAGCGCACGTGCTGCTCATATGTTTAGCTTCGTTGCACCAGCGGTAGGGTGCCGAAATGTGGTCTTACTTGGCCGCTTCTTATTGTATTTATTTTTTTTTTTTCCGAGTTACGCCCTTTCGTTACCTGCCCCAAATTGAAGAGGGGACTCACTTCTACCGGACACATTCGCAGCACAACATAGTGCTCATCCCCCCACCTCTAACCGCCCTGCTTCACATTTATGTCGCGCAATTTTTTCTCGTACACATTGGAAGTGTCTTTGATTTTTTTTTTCACCCGCTTTTCCGTGTACAGCAGATTGTCAAACTCTTTGTTGTAAGTTTGCATGCAAAAGTTTATTCCTTGCCGCACCTTCTGCACATCGTTATCCCGCACATGATGGCTGTTTATGTAGGAAGTTAATTCCTTGTTCACTGCGTCCATGTCGAGGTCAATGTCTTGCACCATTTTTTTTAATAGCCTATTTTTATTTTTTATTTCTTCAAAATAAGCATCCCCATTTTGGTCATCCCCTTGTGAAAGTTCCTCAAACGCCTCCTCCACTTGAGAAATTTTTTCATTCGAGTTTTGAGCAAACTCTCTTAAATTTTTTATGTACATATTGCTTTCGTTATAAATAAGCTCCAAGTTTTTGAAGATTACAAAGTCCTTGGAGTAAAATTTCAGGTCCTTGTTGAGGTTTTCCCTGCGTATGCACATGTGTTTAATATGTGTGTTGGGGGGAGAAGCGTTAAGGGGATGTTACACATGCACATATGTATGCACCTCAGCCGGTTGGAATAGCTCTCCACACAAATCTACACGAAGAAGTGCGCCTATTAATGATGCCTTTCCGCCCGCGCATATTTGCACAACCCGCTATTGTACCTCTTAACCTCCAAGGTGCCTATTTTCTCCGTCATGTCCAAATTTTGGCTACTGTGGACGCTGAGTTCGTTTTTTATTTCCCTGTCCCGCTCGTCCAACTCGTTAATATTGCTCTTGAGTGATTTTATTTTACCAATATTTTCCCTGATTTGTTCTATATAATAATTTTTACATTTTTGAAGCATATCGACATGGATTTCATTAATGCTGTTAATGTGATCATTGTATAGGTTGTTTAAATAAATTATTTCGTTCCTTTCGATTATGTTGTAATTATCAATCATTTCATCCATTTCCTCTTTCATGTCGTGTTCGTATTCTTCCAAGTATGTTTTGAATAGTTTCTCCATGTGCTTTAGTTTCTGCGGGACGTAAAATTAGGGGGGGGAGGTGTATCGTCTACTTGCGCACTTCGTCAACGACATGGGAGGTATAACAATAACACGCGTCGTATGCATCACACACGTATGAAGCGGCTGTTGCTTTGGTTTTTACCGCCACCGTTAAGACAAAATTTGGATTACTTCTCATGGCGCCTGTGAACATAGCGACAAACACGCGTGTACCCCCCCGCACACACACACACAGTGCCTTGCATCCTTACCAAATCGAAGGCCGCATTCAGGTGGTCTATTTCCTCGAAGTTTCTGTTTTTCACATGATCCAAGTTGACTCGTTGCTGATCTATAAAGTTCACCAAGTTATTCATCGTCTTTTCATGTTTCTCCCCAATCATCATTTTTATATCTTCCTTTTCCTTGTCCAGCTTTTTTAACTCCTCTGCATTTTGATAATTGTAAAACACTGATTTGTTCTTAATCACCTTTGGTTCTTCCTCGGTCTTTTGTCCATACTTTTCGCAGCCCTCACTGAGGAAGTCTATTTTGCTTTGCAATTCGTGGTACTCCTTTTTGAAGCGCTCCAATTCATTTTTCTTTTCTTCCTTCGAAGGGTTGAGAACGGGGTTTGCCCAACGGTTGTAACTTTTGCAGTTGTGCCTTGCCGTTCAGGCGTTTTTGCAATTTTTTTTTTTTTTTTTTTTTTTTTTTTTT